CAGAGCAGCGATGATGTCAAAAATGCGTCACTGGAGAGAACTCGCACTGAAATTAGTCAATCTGATGGCTTGATTTGATAGTGAAGACAAGTATTTGCAATATGCTCATTTAGATTTCATTAGAAAAAAGGAAACAATATTGTTCTTTAGAAATATTGCATAGTAAAAAGAAATGAGAGCATACACTTGCATATGTTATATGCAAAGTATCAAAGACTTAGATGATCACTTTTTATTTTAATGCATTACTTACGCATTTATTTTTGTATTCATTCACTCATTCATTTTCTTGTCGGCTTAGTCCCTTTATTAATCCAGGGTCGCCACAGCGGAATGAACCGCCAACTTATCCAGCAAGCTTTTACGCAGCGGATGCCCTTCCAGCCGCAACCCATGTCTGGGAAACATCCACACACACATTCACACACACTCTCATACACTACGGACAATTTAGCCTCCCCAATTCACCTGTACCACATGTCTTTGGACTGTGGGGGACACCGGAGGACCCGGAGGAAACCCATGCGAAGGCAGGGAGAACATGCAAACTCCACATAGAAACGCCAACTGAACCAGCGACCTTCTTGCTGTGAGCGAACGTGCTACCCACTGCCTCGCCTATTTTTGTATTATATTCATTATTTTTTAAAGTCCTCTAGCCTTCTAAATCAATTAGTTTAAACAAATTGTTTTGACTTTCGAAATGTAACACTACAATATATTTCCAGATTTCTTGTTTACATATTTACATCACTGAAGTGCAAATGTTCAGTTATTTATATTTACAGTACTGAAATGCAATTGTCTGAAGTTATTTATATTTTCATATTTACAGCTTTATCTATATTTATATTTCTTACATTACTTTAATGCAAATGTCTATAGTTATTAATATTCCCATAGTTAAGTTTTATACATTTATAAATGTATAATTTACATAATATTTTACACAAGAAAATAGTTTTGCTGTTTGTTCAAACTATTTATTTAAAATGAACTTTTAGGGGGGACTTCAATTTGTAAAAAAAAAAAAAAAAAGAAACTATTAATTTAACTTAATTCCTTCATGCCGTCCCAACACAAATCAATTGTGTGAAACCCGGCATTTATTACACTGTATGTTTAAATGTTTACATTAATGCATTGAAATTAATGTTTAGAATTTTCTGTACACAACTTTATATTCCTGTAGTGTAGGCAACACTGTATAAAAACATTAACAATGAATACACACACTTAAAAAACGATGTTTGTTAGCTCAAACTTCTCATATTAAATAAGCTGAAACAACACAATTCTTAAGTTTTCTTTAAGACAACTTAATTGTTCAATGTTAAATCCACTTAAATTTGTATAAACTAATAAGTTAAACTAAATAAGTTAAACTAATAAGCACAAATTGATTGTGTGGAGCCCTGCATTTTTTGCAGTGCAGTTACAGTGCATCCGGACAGTATTCATAGGGCTTCACTTTTTTTTCTTTTTGTCTTTATATTTTTAAATTCTACACACAATACCCCAATGTGACAAAGTGAAAAAGATAAATTTTTTTTTAAAAGATTGTTAAAATTGTTGCAAATTAATAAATTTTAATTAAAAAAAAAAAAATGAAAAATCACATGTACATCAGTATTCACAGCCTTTGCTCAATACTACCTTTGGCAGCAATTAAAGCCTCAAGTCTTTCTGAATATGATGCCACAAGCTTGACACACCTGTCTTTAGGGATGTTTGCCCATTCCTCCTTGCAGTACCTCTCAAGCTCTATCAGGTTGGATGGGAAGCGACAGTGTACAGCCATTTTTGGATCTCTTCAGAGATGTTCAACAGGATTTAGGTCTGGGCTCTGGCTGGGCCACTCAAAGACGTTCACCGAGTTGTTGTGAAGACACTCCATTGACATTTTGCCGGTCTGCTTTGGGTCATTGTCTTGCTGTAAGATGAACCGTCGCCGCAGTCTGAGGTCAAGAGCACTCTAAAGCAGGTTTTCATTTAAGATGTCTCTGCACATTGCTGCATTCATAGTCTTCCAGATCCTGCTGCTGAAGAACATCCCCACAGCATGATGCTGCCACCAGCATGCTTCACTGTAGGGATGGTAGGCTGGTGATGAGCGGTGACTGCTTTTCTCAAAACGTCTGGCATTCACTCCAAAGAGTTCAATTTTAGTCTCATCAGACCAGAGAATTTAGTTTCTTATGGTCTGAGAGATGCCTTTTGGCAAATTCCAGACGGGCAGTGGCTTCCGTCTGGCCACTCTACCATACAGGGTTGATTGGTGGATCGCTGCACAGATGGTTGTCCTTCTGTAAGGGTTTTCTCTTTCCACAGAAGAACGCTGGAGCTCAGACAGAGTGACCATCGGGTTATTGATCACCTCCCTGACTAAGACCCTTCTCCCCCGACCACCTAGTTTAGATGGCCGGCCAGCTCTAGAAAGAGCCCTGGTGGTTGCTAAAATCTTCCACTTTCGGATGATGGAGGCCGCTGTGCTCATTGGAACTTTCAGAGCAGCAGAAATTTTGCTGTAACCTTCCCCAGCCTTGATCCTCGAAAATCCTGTCTCTGAGGTCTACAGACAATTCCTTTGTCTTCTTGCTTGGTTTGTGCTTTGACATGCAATGTTAACCCTGGGACCTTATATAGACAGGTGTATTCCTTTTCAAATCATGTCCAATCAACTGAATATACCACAAGTAAAGTCCATTTAAGCTGTTAAACAGGAAACAGAATGTACCTGAGCTCAATTTAGAGCTTCACAGCAAAGGCTGTGAATACTAGTGATTAACAGTTTTATTGATTCTCAGGCAGGTTTCAGCATGGAGTACAGAATACAACTCTGAAAAGAATCAACTTTTTTTTTTTGCCCTATTATAGACCCACCCCAAACTAATCCCTAACTACTACTTTAAGGTTCCGGCTTGGCTATCAGTAAATACAATTAAGGCCTCTATCTTATATAATAAAGAAAAAATGTAAATAAAATACAATAAAAATTAAATAAAACAAATGAATGGGTAAGTTCAGTCAATAACATTTATTACTGTTCCATTTCCAAACAGTTTAAGTACTTGGACCATTTTTTTAAGTGTAGGTTTAGCTTGTCCATTTGCTTATAAGACAAATAAGACATTTTTTCAGCAAGTTCTACTGCCCATTCTTGGAAGGAAGGGGCCTCCTCTGATTTTCAGCTCCTAAGAATTATTTGTCTGCCAATCAGTAAACTGGTTTGGACCCAAAATTTTATGTTTTTATCTTTTATTTCGTTGTCTTTCCAACTACCTAGTATAAACAGTCTAGGGCATAGTAAAATGCGAAAGTCTAAAACTGAGCAAAAGGCTGTGAATATTGATCTACATATGATTTTTAAGGTTTTTTATTTTTAATAAATTTGCAACAATTTCAAAAACTCTTTTTTCACATTGTCATTATGGAGTATTGTGTGCAGAATTATGAGGAAATAAATGAATTTAATAAATTTTGGAATAAGACTGTAACATAAAAACAGTTGGAAAAAGTGAAGCACTGTACATTCATTTATTCATTCATTCATTCATTTTTCTTAGGCTTAGTCTCTTTATTCATCAGGGATTGCTGCAGCGGAATGAACCACCAACTATTCCAGCGTATGTTTTACACAATGGATGCCCTTCCAGCTGCAATCCAGTAATGGAAAACACTAGGGATGTAACGGTATTGTAAATACCGTCATACCGTAATATTAATTTTTTTCGATATTACCGTAGTCGCATGACTCGGTAAAACTATGGGTCTTCTGAGAAAATTTGCTCAGGCGAATGAAGCGAACGGGAGGTAGCGGAAACTACAATTCCCATCAGCCCAGGCTTGGCCATAATCCCTTGCGGTCTGTTGTCGCTACAGATACAGTAATGCGGAAATGGAGTGTGCCGCTAGAAGCGGGGATCAAAAAGAGCTGGAAAACCCTAAAGCGGGTGTTGTCGCCGCGCGCGTACTGAATAGTGGTGTTGTCGCGCGAGTTCTTATCAGCTGTGTTGTCGCGCGCGTACTGTAAAGCGGGACGGAGGGTATGTCGCGTCGCGGGGGCACTTTTGATTATTTTGGAAGGGAACTTTCTATCCAAGACTAAAAAGGGCATGTGCACTGCACAGGTTGAGCCCTGTGTGTGCACGTGCCTGCAAGTTGGGGAATACGCCCCCCAATACGATAATAATCAGTCATGGGGACTGCAGAAACACAGCACACTGTTCAGATTGATGCAGACATGAGACCTCTATCTCATTCATGGTTTGTCCGCTCAAGTGGGGGAAAGACAATGCACAACGTTACCCACTGCTGTCAACCTGGGCCAAGTCATATCTCTCTTGTCCCAGAAACCTCAGTCCCAAATGAGAGGGTTTTTTTCTGTTGCAGGGGACATTGTAAATACCCAGAGACACCAGCTTTTACCAGATTATAGTTATATGATAATTTTCCTTTAAACCCATCTCTATCTAAGTGAGTAAGTGAGTGATTAAATGTTGAATGTGATGAGTTTTCAACACTACTAAATTGAAACTTAATTTTTTTACATGGTTTAATATTTTTTTGTTATTAAAATTGAAGTTCCTGTTTCAAAGCTTACAGATAGATGACTAATTTGTATGTCATTGACACTTTTGGCACTTTTTTGGAGTATTTTCATAAGTTTTGTTTTTTCCTGTAAATGATTCAAGAAATACCGTACCGTGACATTCATACCGAGGTATTACCGTACCATGAAATTCTGATACCGTTACATCCCTAGAAAACACCCATACACACTCATTCACACACATACACAATAGCCAATTTAGCTTATTCAATATACATATAGCGCATGTCTTTGGACTGTGGGGGAAACCAGAGCACCCGGAGGTGCCAAAACATGGGTAGAACATGAAAACTCCACACAGAAATGCCTACTGACCCAGCCGTGGCTTGAACCAGCGACCTTCTTGCTGTGAGGCGACCGTGCAAACCACTGAGCCACTGTTCTGCTCGCAGTTATATTATTTTTTATTAACAGAATATATCCCAATTCATCAGTCCCCATGAAAAGTTATGTCCTCTTGTAGGGCCAAACTGGTTAGATGATCTTGCTTTGACTCGTGTTTCGGTTTGTTCTTTGTTTGTAGAAACACCAAACCATTGGACTCTTTGCCAGTCCATTTATTACAGCAAAGAAACAAACAGAACTTTCTCATCAACATTAAAATGGTAAATAATACAGTAAGCATCTTACGTTTCTCAAACGTTCTCAGTTCAATGTTCAGCACCCTGAAACGATCAGATTGTCAGAAAAATTGCTTGACCTGCAATCTGAGCATCTGTCAGGCTCTTTAAATGCACAAATATATTCTTACGCCCTCCAGTGTTCACGAAAAGAATTTCAACCAAATAATAAAAAAAATAATGAAAGCTTCAACTCATCTTTAATCTTCAGCCCAGCCTTCTACTAATGGGCCATTTTGGTAATTAACCAGAAGACAAGCGACTGTGTAAATCTGATTGATGCTCCCTGTCACAGAGAGAGGGATGACTGTATCTAACAGCTTGTGTTGCTTTACCCTGTGCACGAGACCCTCAATGTGGACCCTGAGCTGTATCTTCTCTTCATCAGCTGATATCTGCTCCTCCAACAGGTAAGCTGGTCTGTAGACTTTGCATGGCACACATTCATCAACAAGCAATGAATTGTCGAACATTATTGCCATTTCAGGCTTCAGCAGAGACATAATCCCGGACTGTTTAAAAAGTTCTGTATCACTGACAGAAGCTGCAAAGAGGGATGAGACAAAAGTGACTGCTCCATGCGGAGCCATGCCAATCAATCCCTTAAAGCTGCGGTGGGACTTGTAAGAAAAGTCTTCACTTTTAAACAAGGGAGTTTGGCAACGCAACTCTGTGCAGTGGATCAGCACTCGTGTGTCTGGATAGTCCTGGAACTGATTGGGAAGATGAGCTTTGACTGCCTCTGCAGACATCCAGATGCGGAGAGACCCGAGAACGGTGTATAAAAAATTGGCCCAGGTTGTTATGATTTGGCTCACCGTGGACTCGTGGATGTTGAATCTGTGGCCAAGATCCCGCAGGGTTAAGCCAACCGAGAGGTGTACCATGAAGAGGAAGAACTCATCAATGGGCTGCAGGGACCGGTCCTGTAAAAACATGCACTGCAGTTATGTACAAATAGTGTGTACTAGGGCTGCACAATAGATCCTTTCAGCATCGATATTGCAATGTGATCTAGGGCTGCAACAACGAATCAGTTAAAGCGATTAAAATCGATTACCAAAAACGTTGGCAAAGACTTTCATAATCAATTCATTGAGTTATGTGACGCAGAGATGTTTAATTATTTTAAAAATTTAGTTGAGTGCAGAGCAGATTGAACGTATCTGCCTCTCTCATGCACTGATGCCAGCAGAGTTCGGCACCTCATAGATAGGACAAAACAAAAAAACAAGTGGAGGTAACACTAAAGGAAAGATACATGGCAAGGAAGAGAGCAACAGCAAGGTAAATCACAACAAAATCCTGCTTTTGTTCTGTTTTGAAGTGAGGATTGTAATGTACAATGCTGGAGTTGATTAACAAGACATGAGTGACAGACATGAATAACAGCGTTGCATTCAGATTATCCCCCAGTGGGTGAATTGCAGAACAGGTTTCATAGTTTTAACCGGATGCCAGATCAATTTTACAAGTTTGTAAACGTTTTAGTGTGAAGCATTTGTAAAATATTTATTTTTAATATTCTCTTGTTGTCCTGTTTAGCAGAACACACCATGGAACAAATATATAATCCTTGAAAATGTACATTTACATTTAGTCATTTAGCAGACGCTTTTATCCAAAGCGACTTACAAATGAGGACAAGGAAGCAATTTACACAACTAAGAGCAACAATGAATAAGTGCTATAGGCAAGTTTCAGGTCTGTAAAGTCTAAGAAGGAAAGTATTAGTAGTATTAGTATTTTTTATTTATTTATTTTTTTTTTAGGTACAGTTAGTGTGATATCCAGAAAGGCAATTGCAGATTAGGAAGTGAAGTGGAGACTAAATAGTTGAGTTTTTAGTCGTTTCTTGAAAGTAGCGAGTGACTCTGCTGTTCTGATGCAGTTAGGGAGTTCATTCCACCAACTGGGCAGATTGAGCGTGAGCGTGAGCGAAAGTGATTTCTTCCCTCTTTGGGATGAAACCACGAGGCTACGTTCATTCACAGAACGCAAGTTTCTGGAGGGCACATAGATCTGCAGAAGTGAGAGCAGATAAGAAGGAGCAAGGCCAGAAGTCACTTTGTAGGCAAACATCAGAGCTTTGAATTTGATGCGAGCAGCAACTGGCAGCCAGTGCAAATAAGAAATAAATGCCGACACTTTTTATGTTTAATGAGTTCGGATGATAAGCTAAGTGCATTTATAGGTTACACTTTCAATTTAAAATTCGCAACACGTTTGAAGAAGCCCATTTTAATGCATGAGTTGCTTTTACACAGACTTGTGTTTCAATCACTTCGAAACAGTAAACCATTTTGCTAAATTATTGTTCAATTGTTTCAAAAAGCTTAGTTTCTCCTATCACTAGACTAGACTAGGCTTCCACTGCAAATATAAAATGACATTTTGTTCTTCGATTTCTTTATTTACCAATGCACCGTCTGTCATTCCATCTTCATGCTTCATGGTTGCTGCTCTTACTCTGGACACCCGAATCATGTTGTTGGATGCAGGTTCAATGAGCTTCCAGAATGCCATTAAATGGCTGCAAGTTGTGAACCTAAATAAGATGAAGAACATATTGGATATATACAGTTGAAGTCAGAATTATTATCCCCCTTTTGATTTTTTTTTCTCTGTTAAATTATTCCCAAAAGATTTTTAACAGAGCAAGGAAATTTTCACAGTATGTCTGATAATATTTTTTCTTCTAGAGAAAGTCTTATTTCTTTTGTTTAGGTTACAATGAAGGCAGTTATTAATTTTTTTTAAATCATTTTTGGAACAAAATTATTAGCCCTTTTAAGCAATTTTTTTTTCTCGATAATCTACAGAACAAATCATCATTATACAATAACTTGCTTAATTACCCTAACCTGCCTAGTTACCTTATTAATCCAGTAAAGCCTTTAAATGTCACTTTAAGCTGTAAAGAAGTGTCTTGAAAAATATCTAGCAAAATATTATTTACTGTCATCATGGCAAAGATAAAATAAATCAGTTATTAGAAATGAGTTATTAAAACTATTATGCTTAGAAATGTGCTGAAACAATCTTTCCTCCATTAAACAGAAATTGGGGAAAAAAATAAACAGTGGCCCTAATAATTCAGGGGTGCTAATAATTCTGACTTCAACTGTATATAGTTAAACTATATACATAATTATTAACCCTTCTGAATTATTAGCCAATCTGTATATTTCTTCCACAATTTCTTTTGAACCGAGAGAAGATTTTTAACACATTTCTCAACATAATTTTAATAATTACTAATAACGGATTTCTTTTAATAATTAATAACTTAACTTCCAGTTGATCATTTGGAAAAGTGTCAGAAGGTAGATTTTTCCAATGAAGCATCTGTTGAACTGCATCCCGATCATCACAAATACTGCATAAGATCTATTGGAACCCTCATGGACCAAAGATTCCCACAGAAATCAGTCAAGTGGATGGCAACATCAACAGCCTGAGGTATAAAAAAACATTTGTGCTGCACATTACATTACAAACCACAGGAGAGGGCAAATTCCTCAGCGGGATAACGCTCCTTTTACCTCAGCCTCCACATCAAAGCTCCTGAAAGCAAAGAAGGTCAAGGTGCTCCAGGATTGGCCAGCCCAGTCACCAGACATGAACAGTATTAAGCATAAATGGGGCAATGGAGGAGGCTTTAAAGATGAATCCAAAGAATCTTGATGAACTCTGGGAGTCCTGCAAGAATGCTTTGGTAAAATAAGCGTAATCTAGAGGACTTTACCTTTCATATAAGCCACTTCTGATCCCAAATGATCAACTACAGAAGTCAAGTTATTATTTGTTGCTCCTAAAACTTGGATAGGCAACAAGACTTTTGTAGAGTATAACACACTTCACCGTAGTATAATTCAAAAACATAATAGTATTTACTGTAAAATATGATTTTTACTGCTTATTATTACATGTGGGTTAAATCTGGTACATAAGGGATTTAAATCATACCGTGTGTAGAACTTGATATCATCGTCAGAAGCAGCAAAACGCCCCAAACAAAATCTTTGACTGACAGACATCTCCTCCACCTGTCTCCTCAGTCGCTCCACCTCTTCACGGAGCTCTTTAACTGGATCCGGTCCATTATCTGCCGTCGTAGTTTCCGGAACTGAACAGTAATCGTGTTCTAGATGGTGGATGTCCCCTTGACTGTAAATCTCCTTTATTGTCACAGAATGCTCTGTAAATAATGTGACACAAATGATGAACAAATACATACAAGTTAGAACGACACATATAAACATGTAGAACTTTTTGCACTTATATTCATTTATTTTCCTTTCGGCTTAGTCTCTTTATTAATCAGGGGTCGCCACAGCAGAATGAACTGCCAACTAATCCAGCATGTTTTACACAGCGGATGCCCTTGCTGTCGCAACTCAACCCTTGGAAACACCCATACACTCTTGCATTCACAGTCATACACTATGACCAATTTAGCCTGTTCAATTCACCTGTACCGCATGTGTTTAGACTGTCGGGGAAACCGTAGCACCCGGAGAAAGCCTACGCCAACATGGAGAGAACATGCAAACACCAAACAGAAGAGCCGCAGCCGGGGCTCAAACCAGTAACCTTCTTGCTGTGAGGTGATCGTGCTACCCACTGCTCCACCATGACGCAGCTTTTGCTCTTAACACTACACAAAATAACTTTTATTTTAATTGTCATAAGTAAATATAACTTTTGTAAGATGAAATCATACATATGAAAATTTAGACACAAAAACCTCTAAATGCCATCTGATAGTTTCCTCTAAAATGAGTATTTTTATCAGGTAAGATATCTAATATATAATAGATAAACAAAGGAGGTTGTGAAAAAATGTCATTTTTGATGGAAATTTTAGATGGCACTTAGAGGTTTTTGCATCTGAACTCTTCATATATATATATATATATATATATATATATATATATATATATATATATATATATATATATATACATATATATATATATATATATGGCTGATTCCAGCTTTATGGATGTGACATTTGCAGTAAAAATTCTAAACATAAAATCACAGAGAAAGTATACGTTAACTTTATATTGAAACTTCTGTTTATATTTTCCAGGACAACTGACCACAGAGATATAGGATCAAAAAATAGCAGTCTGCAAACATTTTTTATACTTTAAATGAGAAAAATAATCATGCGTTATGGATGTGACAAAAAAAGTCTGTGAGTTTACATTAGACAACGTATTTTCTAGAAATTCTGTGAATTAAACTACACAACCCAAAAGAAATATTGCTCCTCAAAAGGATAAGAGTCGGCTCACTATAGAACAAAATTGATTGATTTTATTTGATTTTGACATTTTTGCATTTTTAAAGGGAAAAGCTTTGTTATGGATGTGACACTTTTTCGTTATGGATGTGACAGATGTGAATTTGCCATTTGTAGGACTTTGGTAAATCAAACATAAAAATTTGAAAACATTGACATAGACATTTTAAAGTATTTCTTAAGTACTGTAAAATACTTGCCTACGCAAAAAAATCTAGTTTTGCTGCTTTGGTGAAAACCTTTTTTTTTTCATGGCACGGTTGACATTTGCATGGAATTGCTCATATATATATATATATATATATATATATGTTTCACCAAGTCAAATTCAAGACTTTTAAAGACTTTTTAAAGACAATCAAGAATGAAACTATAGACTTATATAGGGCTAAACCAGCAATAAAAAAAATCTGCCCGTTCAAATAAACTAATTTTAATTAGTTATTTCTTAGCAACACATTTTAATTACTTAAATGAAAATACTTAAAATAATTACTCATTATTTCAAAAGATCTGCTTGTGTCAAACCAAGCAGACCTTTAATTTTTTCAATATAACATGAATTAAAACTTTGATCATCTAAATCTGTTATAATAGCCGATAAAAATTGAGTTTTGCTAAAAGTTTTATTGGGGTGTAGTGTCGTTGATTGAATGTGTGTTGGATCGACTAGGTATCTTTGCATAAACAAAGGAACATTAAGACCCATTTATAATGATTTAAGACCTGCAAGACAATATTTCAATGTATTAAAGACTTTTTAAGGCCTAAAATTTAGTTTTTGGAATTTAAGATATTTTAAGACTCTGTGGCCACCCTGGAATACTTTTCTCTGAAATTATATTATTCAGGAAAGTCTGAATGTGTAATATAAAACCATCCTCACCTCAATTGATAAGGTAAAGTTGGCTTTACATTTGCACATTCATTCAATGAGAACTTGTGATATTCTCCCTATTTTGTTTACCATGGTACTTTGAATAGTCATATTTACCATTAGCACTATTAAACTGTAAACAATGTTGTACTTTGATAGTCATTGCCTGCTTATATGACTAATACTCTAAAATGTATATCACTACTTAGAATTTGCTAGCATTACTTTTCTGAAATTATATTATTAAGGAGAAAGTCTGAATGCATGAATATAAAACCAACTTCACCTCAGTGTTGATAAGTTCTTTATAAATAAAGTGTGAATTGAATACACTTGGAAACAAACCTTAAATTAAATACAAAATTCAAAGAGTTAAGCTCAATTTACCTAAATCTGCGGCCTTCTTTGCTTCAGCATCTGAGTATCCATTCCACTTGAATAATGTGGGAACTGCCCCTTTCCTCAACAAACGCCTCCCTATGGGATTACGTGGCTGAATCAGATCATCAGTAGTAAAATGTCGACAGCAGACCCTCGTGTGATATGTGATGTTAAGTTTCTCACGTCGAATGTTTTTAATCCATTTTTCACGTATTTCCGTGGACACCGGAAACGTGTGGAAACTCACCGCGGAGTTGAATCTCGATGAAGCTCCACATAACGGCACACAACAATGTTCAGATGAACTACTGTCAATCCGCCGTTGATATTTATACCTTCTGGTAGTCATTGCTATTATAGTTCATTAATAAATTCGCCGTCAAATTGCTGAATGAAAGGGTTTTGCAGCTAGTAGTACACATCTAGAACGCGCTGCACGGGAAATAAACACACCGGCTGAGATTAAACCGGAAATACATCAGCAGCGCTCTTCTTCCTCTCGTGTTGATTGTGGCTACTTTTGGTGCGGTGCTGCCACCACGACTGAACTGGAATGTGGACTGACAATGAATGGGAAGGAAGGGAAAATACAATGTTGTCTTGACCGTGTAATCAATACAACAGATTTATTAGCTAGTGTTTTGATTAAATACCTTTTAAAACCGCCAGAAAATTTTAACATAATGTCTAACGTCTCGTTCAACCGTTGTAAAGACGACTATTGCAATCGATTCTGTAGTATAAAGTTATCTTTTTTATTATAACGGATTATTGTGGTATAACAACTGTTATTCCGGTCTTATTTATATCCTAAACTGTCCTGTCAGTCTAAATCTGTACGTAGTCACCAATATTCTTCAACTGCGTTTGTGAATGTAGGCGTAGTGTGACTTTCTTCAAGTTTGCAGCGCCCTCTAGAGGCAAATACCATGTACTGCTCTAAATGTGTTTGTTATGGGTATGGTTTTGCTCCGGTTTGAAGCAAATATTCTGCTTGTTAGTCAATTATTTATTATTATTTATGTCCTTCACAGTAGCGTTGCCATACTACTCACTAATACAGCTAGCCAGGATGCTCTCAATCACTAGGAGTTGCTAAGGATCTTGGATGACAGACCAAACTTTCCTCAGCTTCAGCCGCTGTTGTGCTTTCTTAACCAGCTAGGTGGTATTTAATTTCCAGGTGAGGTCCTCACTGATGTGGACTCCCAGTAATTTAAAACTGCTCACTCATTCCACTTCAAGTTGACGGATAAACAGTGGCTGATGAGTTCCCCTCTCCTTCCTCATGTCCACTATTGTCTTGTCCGTGTTGAGGGTGAGGTTGTTGTCCTCCCACCATGTCACTAGACTGGCCACCTCCCTCCTGTAAGCTGATTTCCTCCAGTGATGTCTTGTAACTGCAGTGTTACAGTTACGTTGCGAGTCGACGGTGCTAACCACTGAGCCACCGTGCCACCCCAATGAAGCTTTTGCTGCATATATTTTGTAAAAATGATTATATAAATGATAACATTACTCACATTGCCCCGCCATTTTCTGATAAATACATTTTCATTATTGATATCAGCACCTTTCTGTGTTTGCTTTCTACTACACACGTGAGCTGGCAAAAGTCCTGCATATGCAAAGTGCTCATGTAGACATTTTAGTATAGTAAAGCTAATCAAACATTGTGCATATCTGGTTACAATACGTTTGCATAATTATATTCCTATTTTAAAATTAAGTAATTTACAACTTGTTTAACAAACAAATGTTTTACATTGTAGGTGGGAGTATGCATTTCTGTAACATTTCTGTGAAAAGTGGTGTGAAATGTTTAGCAAAAAAACAGATCTTTTGATTTATGTTCAAGTATTTCTTATTCATCATTGTAAATAGAAAACGTGCATTTACACAAAAAGAAACATTTTTTTTTAAATTATTGTTAAAAATGATGCAAAATTTATTAAATAAACCGAACGCATTTTGGATGTAGCAAAATGCTTTTAAATAGTTCTTGAAGGAACACATTTGACACTGTTAAGGTAGAAAGTGTAGGGCACTCTCAGAAAAAATGGTACAATGTAACACTTTGCACTTAACACTTTGTACCTTAACAGTGTCAAATGTGTTCCTTAAAGAACTATTTAAAGGCATTTTACTTCATCCAAAATGCGTCAATTTATTTTCAGTAAATTTAAAACTTCAAATACATTTTTAAACAGTGTTTTTAAGAAAGTTTCTTATTGTCGTTGGTTTTATCTGCGTTCTGAATGATTTTGAGATTCATTCATTCATTTTCTTTTTCGGCTTAGTCCCTTTATTAACCTAGGGTCGCCACAGTGGAATGAACCACCAACTTATCCAGCATATGTTTTATGCAGCGGATTAAAAGGCAGTTCAAGCTGAAAAGAAAATGAATGAAGGAATTAAAATTCAGATTTTGTGAATAATTGTTATTTAAATCGAATACATGCAGATCGCATTCAGAATCCAACTTATTCTTTTCATTATGAAATAACTTGTTAACGTTACACAATTAATATAATGCTTTAAAGTTTAATCATTTTGTATGTTTAAAAATTTTACTTTTGCAATTCTGCTGTATTTGAACAAAATCTGACATAGGCTACAGAAGTCACATACACTTACCGGCCACTTTATTAGGTGCACCTTCAACTTCAGGTTCGCCTTTACCTTGTGCGTTCAGAGATGCTCTTCTGTATACCTCAGTTGTAACAAGCGCTTATTTGAGTTACTGTTGCCTTTCTATCAGCTGGAACCAGTCTGACCACTCTTCTCTGACCAGCAACAAGGGATTTGCGCCCACAGAACTGCCGCTCACTGGATATTTTCTATTTTTCTGACCAATATCTCTAAACCCTAGAGATGGTTGTGCGTGAAAATGTCAGTATATCAGCAGTTTCTGAAATACAATAGCAGTAATACATGCTGCCATGTAATTGGCTGATTAGAAATTTGTGTCAATAAGCAGTTGGACAGGTGTACCTAATAAAGTGGCCGGTGAGTGTAGATTAATTTTTATTAAAGAAAATATTATATCAATTCTTTCATTTTCTTTTCGGCTTAGTCCCTTAATTAATCCGGGGTCGCCACAGTGGAATAAACCACCAACTTATCCAGCACATGTTCACTTTACTAAAAAAATCGAAATCACTAAAGTGTGCACATACAACAGCCAAGTGAATCGAAGTAGAAGAATGCACGTCATTTAACAAGACGAGGAAATTTTCATTGACGCAGTACAAGATCAACAGTTCAAAGGCAGAATGCCTAAAACATATCAAAATGTAAATGAAGATGACTGGTCTGAAACTATAAAAATAAAGAAAAGAGATGTCCAAGTTAAACTTGATACTGGTGCAGAATGCAATGTGATGTCAGAGAGAGATTACAAAGCTCTAAACATCACAGGAAGCCTGCAAAAATATAGTTGCACGTTAGTGGCATACACAGGCCACAAGATGGAGCCATTGGACAAGAAAGCGCTCACTTGTGAGTTCAAGAGACAGATACACTCGCCGGCCACTTTATTAGGTACACCTTACTAGTATCAGGTTGGACCCTTTTTGGCTTCAGAACTGCCTTAATCCTTCATGTCATAGATTTAACAAGGTACTGAAAGTTTTCCTTACAGATTTTGGTTCATATTGACATGGTAGCATCACACAGCTGCTGCAGATTTGTCGGCTGCATATCCATGATGCCAATCTCCTGTTCCATCACATCCCAAAGGTGCTCTATTGGATTGAGATCTGCTGACTGTGGAGGTCATTTGAGTACAGTGAACTCATTGTCATGTTCAAGAAACCAGTCTGAGATGATTCACGCTTTATTACATGGTGTGTTATCCTGCTGAAAGTAGCCATCAGAATGGGTTCACTGTGGTTATAAAGGGATGGACATGGTCAGCAATACTCAGGTAGGCTGTGGTGTTGACATTATGCTCAAATGGTACTAATGGGCCCAAAGTGTGCCAAGAAAATATCTCTCACACCATTACACCACCACCAGCAGCTTAAATGGTTGATACCAGGCAGGATGGATCTATGCTTTCATGTTGTTGACCCTACCATCCGAATGTCGCAGCAGAAATCTCATCAGACCAGGCAGCGTTTTTCCAATCTTCTATTGTCTAATGTCTCAGTTTCCTGTTCTAAGCTGACAGGAGTGGCACCCGGTGTGGTCTTCTGCTGCTGTAGCCCATCCACCTCAAGGTTGAACATGTTGTGTGTTCAGAGATGCTCTTCTGCAGACCTCAGTTGTAGCGAGTGCTTATTTGAGTTACTGTTGCCTTTCTATCAGCTCCAACCAGTCTGGCCATTCTCCTCTGACCTCTGGCATCAACAAGGCATTTGCACCCACAGAACTGCCGCTCACTGGATATTTTCTCTTTTCGGCACTAATCTCTGCAAACCCTAGAGATGGTTGTGCATGAAAATCCCAGTAGATCAGCAGTTTCTGAAATACTCAGATCAGCCCTTCTGGCACCAACAACCATTCCACGTTCAAAGTCACTTAAGGCCCTTTCTTCCCCATTCTGATGCTCAGCTTGAACTGCTGCAGATCATCTTGACCGCGCCTAAAAGCACTGAGTTGCTGCCATGTGATTGGCTAATTAGAAATTTGGTTTTACAGTTGGACAGCTGTATCTAATAAAGTGGCCGGTGAGTGTATAGGATTGTGTTTGAGATCATTTAGAGAATAATGTTCTTTTAAGCAAATAATTTAATTCAGTACCACATTTTACATTAAAACAATTGAATGCTCAGTTATCTAGATCTCCACTTAAGTGTCATACTTAGAGGGAAAATGTGCTTTATGCATTAGCAATCAGTCGATCACAATGCCAAGGCATTGGTACTCTGTATCTGCCTCAAAAATCCTGATTGGAGCATCCCTGCTGCATACATTTGATCAAAAATAATGCTCTATTGTGATCAGTTATTATTGGTAAAAAAAATAATAATTTTATAAGAAAAAAAACTAATGCTGATTCTTACATTTGTCATCAGTGCTGAAAAGATTTCTTTCTTGCTTCATAGCCTCTTGGAAACTGATCCTCGTCAAATAATCCAAAAATGTAAATGTATCGCTGTTTAGTTGGGAGATTAGAAGTTCTCACCAGTGCAAAGACCAATACCTGACTCTATTCTGCAGGCATCTGTAGACAGGCGAGCTCCTGAGGTTCCTGCTGCAACTTCATTATTCATTCCTTTGGAAGGCTGTAAACCAGGTGGTCTGCACGTGTTTTCATCCCGTTTCCTTTTCCTCTTAAATCTAATATTCAGAAAGGAGAGCCAGCGGTCAGTCCAAAATGCTTTAGTTGCTTGGTAAATCACATACAGTTGAAGTCAGAATTATTAGCCCCTTTGTTTATTTTTTTCCCCCAATTCCTGTTTAATGGAGAGAAGAGTTTTTTTCAACACATTTCTAAACATAATAGTTTTAATAATTTATTTCTAATAACTGATTTATTTTATCTTTGCCATGATGACAGTAAATTATATTTGACTAGATATTTTTAAAGACACTTCTATACAGCTTAAAGTGACATTTACAGACTTAACTAGGTTGATTAGGTTAACTCGGCAGGTTAGGGGAATTAGGCAAGCCGGTGTATAATGGTGGTTTGATCTGTAGATTATCGGAAAAAAATAGAACTTAAAGGGGCTAATAATTTTGTCCTTAAAATGGTTTAAAAAAATTTATTCTAGCCAAAACAAAACAAATAAGACTTTCTCTAGAAGAAAAAATATTATCAGACATACTGTGAAAATTTCCTTGCTCTGTTAAACAACATTTAGGAAATATTTAAAAAGGAAAAAATAATTCAAAGAGGACTCATAATTCTGACTTCAACTGTAGGTTATAAGTAGGGCCAGACAGAATCTGCGGATATTTTTTGCTATTTCTGCGCAGAAGTTTGTACAAAATTTGCGGATTTATTTGGAATTATTTTGGGAGTATCGTAACTAAAAAGTTAATATATGAAATAAACAGTAATACCTTTTTAACTTTAATTTAATGTATACAATTCAAATCCAATGAGATTCACTTATTTGGTAAACAAAGCAAGTCTCTCATATAATATATCTACACTCTTAAAAACGTTGAGTTATTTATTTTTATTTATTAATAACTCAACCAGTTGGGTTAAATATTTGGTGCTTTGTTGGGTTATTTTTAACCTTTATTGGGTTATTTATTTAATAACTCAACCAGTTGGGTTAAAAAATTTTTATTTCAACAGTCAACTGATTTAACTGACACAGAACAGCTGTATTAATATGCGAGTGTGATGTTTTTTTGCATTACAGTGTTTATTTAAGCTCTAACACAATAACATTGTTGTTGTTTTTTTATCAAATTACCCTCTGTGTCGCGTTTTTTTCTATCCGTTTCACTTGCAATCTTAATTATTGATGATACAAATGTGCGCTTTGTACCCGATCTATTTAAATGGATAAAAACATGGTGTCTGGAACTTAAAATGTAATAAAAATAAAGCATTTTCAATATTTTTGAAAACTGCATGTTATTTATTTACACAGACATAATTGTGACATTAATAGTAGTACTACACTGTTAAAAAAATATTATAAATAAGTCCTGACAACATAGGTTTTAGGTCATTGTAACTTATTAAACTAAGTTAATCATGTACTAGCTTAATTTTATAACTTACGCAAGCTGTTTTAAGTCAGTTTAACATTAAGGCAAGCAGGTTTTTTTTACAGTGTAGTAATAGTAGCAATAGTAATGTCAGAATGGAAAGAATAACATTTAATCAAAATAACCCAGTTCATTGGGTTAAAATAACCCATAGCTGGAAGGTGCTATAATAACCTATAGTAAAATAACTGAAGCTCTCTGTGCTTCATTTCCAGAATATTTATTGTTATAATGTTTTTTTTTTCCTTTGATGTAGGTCTTTTGTACTGCTCATTGCTCCTTGTTGCAGTTGTAACAATTTTAATTTATTAAATTTATTGTAATGGTAAACATGCCTTGCGATGCTGATTGTTCCTTGTTTTGTGATGTAAACTTTTTTAGCAAAAAAAAACAAAAAAAAAACTATCGTTTAACATATAGGGTTATATGTTGGGGTATTTTTAACCCAGCTATTTTAACTGAGTACTAATAGATAGATATAATAATACTTTACAGACTGTATTGTAAATAAATCATATTAACATTTTCATATTAGAAAATAATTTTACTGACATAATAAAAAACTGAATAAATCTATAAATTTACAAACATTTACAGTAAATAAATAGACTCAATGATAGGATAAAAAAAATCTGTGGATTTCTGCAGATTCCGTGTAGACCTAGTTTATAGCCAATGAAACTAAGTCAAACTATAGTCATATAGCCTAGCATGCCTTCACAAATCAATGCAAACATAAACACTATACAATTTATCAAAACGATGCAACATTACTTGACATGCATTCTTTTCATTTTTACGCATGCATTGTGATCACATTGAACAACTAAATAAGGCTAAACTGGCAATATTTACCTCTCAAGCTTTGCATTGCCTTTGTTTAATTCACGCTGGGTTGTATGAGAGAACACTGAAGGGGCAAAGTCAGGACTATCATAGTCCAAGGATGCCTCTCCTGTACAAAAAAAATATAACATTGATTAAAAAAATTTACTTTAGAGTGCCGAGTTAGCTTACAACAAGCTTAAAACAATAGCTTGCTAACTACCAGCAAAACAACATTCAATTATATTCAACATTAAGTTAGCTAGGTAGCTAACTCTTCTCAAGCTTTTACATTGCTCCCTGTTCCTCCATCAGATAAGCATACACTTGTCAATGTAAGGCATGTGTATGATTTAGCATGGAGTGAGCTTACCTGATATGAAATGTGCACTGCAGAGTCGAGCATTTTTAATTTTCTCCTCACTCCAGTCGACTCTTTTGATGGCTGCTAGCCAAAGACGTCTGCGGTTAGCATTGAAAGCAGTGTGGGCAGATGGTATACGGTAAAATTTCAGTTTTTTGTTATGGGACAATCGGTTCCGGCATCCTACCGCACAACACGACATGTTTAATGTTTGTTTGTTTATTTTTTGCAGCCGACATGCGCAGTTGAAGCCGCGTGACCTCATTAATCACGTGGTTCTGGTGATGCGCGAAATTCAGATGAAGGACAGGAAGTAAACCATAGATATATACCCTAGATATCGCATAGGGACCCTGAACATGCGTCAATAGCACCGCCACATTGGTACAGTGCTCCCATAGATACATACACTAGATATCGCATAGGGACCCTGAGCATGTGTCAATAGCGCCGCCACATTGGTACAGTGCTCCCAGGACAAATGTCATTCAACTGAACTAGTTAAGACAGTGTTATTACGTGAAGATGCGGGACTTTAGCGCTGTCTGCGGGTGTAGTAACGAGCAAACAAAGAAAACAACGCACAACAGCAGAACATTTCATTGGTAACATTAAGTTTTTTACGTTTTTTTATGTTAATTTTATGTTAATTTTATGTTAATTTTTTATGTTAATTCTGAACTTTTGTGCTAAACTAGGTCACGTTATTGATTATAATAGTCACTACTGCATTCACCATAAGGCAAAGTAGCTCCAATTCGCACTAAATACTCGGCTTATGCTAGTTTTGTTGAATAAAATCAGCAAAAAATGCAAAAGAAATGACAACGAGATGCTGCGCTGCCAGAAACTTGTTATTGTCGGCAGGTGAAGGAGTCGTTCATAACGGAGATTCATTCACAAACGAAATTAAGGCTCTCTCCTTCAGTATGATAAGTGAAAGCAGGAGAGGAGCTGTGTTTCAGGACACAGATCATCAAATTTAACAGGGAGGGTGAATAGTACATTTCTGTACACACAAACACAAGCTTTTTGTCAGGAATGCCCGTGCGATCACTGATCCATCAATGTAAAAAAGTGATGTAAAATGATAGTTTTCGTAATTAAAAGAAAAATGAATACTAACGTCCAGGAAAACTCCCGATCATAGATAATTGTTTATATCTCTGGCTTCGGATGGCCACCACAATCCTCCACTGTACCTTGGTCCCACATTCATTTCAAAGGGGCGCTACCCTGTTTCAAAATGGCGGCTCTATTCCTTCCAATACAACAACAGAGTAGGCGACATCTAATGTAAATATCTATGGAAGTAAACAACTGAATGGGAGAGAGGAAAGTCCGTCTTTTTGCTATTTGATTTTGTACCATATTTCTGAGGAGATATAAATAGAAAATAAGCACATAATATGGGCATGATATTATATCATGAAGAGGGTGAGTTTTCTACTGAAATAAAATATATTTGCCTGTCAGAGGCGGTTGCTGTATAATTACGTTACATATAAAATACTATAGTAAATACTAGTGTTTTGAAGCATACAATAGATGATTACTTGAAATAAACTTGTAGTATTTATTGTTGCTAACACAACTGTATTAAAATATTTAATAGGCTTCAGTTTTCTATGCTATAATCACAATGAACCAGTTTACACAAACTTTACAGTATTTATTACAGTTTATCAGTTTACTATGGTACATTATTCTGTAGCATGCGCTAACAAAGAGTTGTACACATTATAGACTTTCCTATGTGGTTCAAAAACATGTCTATTATGAATTACTATAGTTTTCCCCATGCAGATATTTTCCAGACATCAAGAAATAACAGATGAAAGCAAACAAAAGCGCGGACGGTTAGTCAGCATTACTTATTAATTATTATTAATGCAATACTTATTTATTTTTGTAAGGAAGAGAAAGTGCTTCACAATAATAACTAGTTTTGTTGCAAGGGTTGCATTTCTTTTTTGTTCCGTCAATGAACTTAACCATCAGCAAACATTCACCGCTGTTGTGCATCTCGATGTTCACATTACGGATATTTATTCAGCCGTAATGCCAGGAAAGACATTGATTATTGCAAAACATTGGAAACAACACAAAGATTTCACTGCGGTCACACCATCTACGATTCAGAGAGAGACGCCGCCGGTCACTTCTTCTGAGTTTTATTAGCGGTTGGTATACAACTTCTTGGTGCATTACTATGGAGTCAGAAAAGACTCAATAGTAATTCACGCAAAAGACACGATGTACACATGCGTAGCCAAATTCACGTGCGTAAAATATTTATTTATATTCACAAAAAAATTTCATGTGCACTAAATAAAAATAAATTTTCTTAAAATACGTTTCACAAATGCAAAACACCATTTGCAAATGTATAAGAGTGTACAAAAAGTTTTGAATGTTTAAAACTTGCGCGTTCATCCTGAATGGGAATGTGCAAATCCTCTTTCACGTACGACTCCCCCTGGATACGTGTGTGTGTATTTTTGAGACTGTCCAGGCAGAGGCAGGGCAACTCGTACCTTTCAGCCAATCAGATGAGCGCTGTAGTCGATGACACCCACTCTACGCTCCATTTGCGCAGACTGTTCCTCTCCAGCATGACGAACGGAGAAAGTCGCAGTCACACTTTTTTTTTTATTTATTTGATCATAGCCTCACTCCTGTCTCGCTCCGCTCTTCTTATTTATTCTCTCGCAGCCCCGTGAGCATTTGATGTTGTGATAGCTAGTTGCAACTATTTTCATTAGTGCTGATGAGAGGTAGAGAGAGATGAGCAGATCATCTGAAAACAATGATTAAGTGCTATATGTGCTGCAGAAATCACTTTACATTTTATATTTGTCTTATGAGAGTATATTTTTTCTACACACGTCTGTCCAAACAGCTTGAAAAGTAGATTTTTCACCATAGATGCCCTTTAAACAACCACAAAAAGCCTATGCTATAATAGTGAATAGTGCTTATCCTCAATCTATGTTTAATGAATAGGTGTTTACTGGGGCCACATGATTTCTTGGGGCCCTAACCGTATGTTCACACAGAAAGCGGCGAGAGTGTCAAAGCAGCCGGAAGTCATTCATTTTCAACGAGAGCCGGCGGCAATAAGCGGCGAGAAGCGGCAAGGAGCAGTGCGGCGCGTCTTCGCCGGTGTGGGCGTCGAGGAGAGTTGAAATCAAGTCAACTTCATGACGAAGCGAATTTTGACGCTTTCACCGCTGGAGCTGAAGGCAGACAGCGTTGTCGTGAAGGCGGCCAAAGCGACCTTTGACGCTCTCGCAGCCTTTGCGCAGTAACCACCTACCTGGCTTAAATGTTAAATCCGCCCCAGCTATCCGATGACCTGCTATGAAAACATGAAACTACAATTTAATTTTTTAATAATTGTTTTTATTTGAAGCATTTTGAAAACTAAATGAATTAGTGAGATCACCATATACATAATCATTATGTGCCTATACAACCACATAATACTACTGATTAATTCTGTGATATGCACCTCTTAAATGCCACACTTTTCCTTTGTGTTCTGTGGGTTTAGATGATGGGTTGGTTAATTGCAGAGATCCGTCTGACAGCATCTGGCATATAAATGGCGATTGGACTCAAGAGCCGAGCAGTCTTCCATGTTGATGCACCTCCGGAAGTAGGAATCTAGAGGAATGACAAAGAACATCAAAGTGAGTGTGGTGTTCTGAGTTGTTACTATAGGCTGAGGTATTCTATTGTTGCTAAGGTGTTCTAATCATTCTGCATTCTATATACTAAAAGCGGAATGATAGAAAATCCACAGCACTCATGATAATCTGTGACTTACAGGGAAATTTCTTGTAGGCGACAGCTACACACGCATTTTGATCGTTGACACAGGTCTCTTCAGTGAACCCGCAGTTTCCTCCAGGTATGTCAGGGATACATCTGTGACATGTCAAGGAAGAGCCTAGATAAAAAAAAAGATAAATTTACATAAGCACATTTTTAACAAATACATTTTTGACAAAAAAAATAATAATAAAAAATTATATATATATATATATATATATATATAATTTATTTATACAACAGTTCTGTCTGGTTCTCGAATCTGATTGGCTGATAGCTGTGATATATTTAAGTAATATCAGCACCCGTACAGCCTCTTTACCCTTTGTGTATTACTCCACCCACATACAGCCAGCAAAAAGCAGAGACTACAGATCTAAAGGTTAAAAGATGCTTGCTCAGCTGTTTAACTGTCAGCTTATGATTTGAACCCAAGGCGGAAGAAAGTAGTTCCACATACAAAAGGGTTTTTGAGACTCTCCATGTTTGATTTTGTTTTTATATATACAATTATGCCGTCAAACTGTTGTATAAACGCAATATCACACTCATAGCAGTGCGATATGGCTGTATATCGGCACTGGTGGGGGCACTAAGGCACTTGGCCTGCGGCCTCGTGCCAATGCACGCCACCCGCCTGTGCCGATATACAGCCATATCGCACTGCTAATCATGTGATATTGCTCATATATATATATATATATATATATATATATATATATATATATATATATATATATATATATATATATATATATATATATATATATATATATATATATATATATAAAATTTCCATTGCTGTCTATTGCAAGTGTGTGCGTGCTGTCAATGTCAATTGGAGAGGAGGAGGGGCAGTGAATCAGCTACGCCAGTGGCACCAATCAATCACAATAACACAATAATTTAGTGCATATTTAAATATTTAGTGCACACTCAGAAATAAAGGTATGTAAGCTGTATCTGGGGTGGTACCTTTTTAAAAGGTACAAATTTGTACCTTAAAGGGCTATGAAACCCCCCACTTTTGGTTCAGGTCTACTTCAGAATTTTTTCTAAAGATGCATCGTAATCGGCGTGGAGCTCCGCGAGCAAAGGGCAGGGGTGGGCGTGGCCAGCAGGGGAGAAGGAGGGGAGCGAACAACTGTTGTCAGTTAGCTCACAAAATGCATGATTTTATTTACAAAGTTAAAATGCAAAGTAAAAAACAGTAATGTAATGTCCTGCTACATTTGTTATTTGTTATGTAGCACACAAACTGCTGTCAGGGTCGATACAGCAAAGCTTTGCGGGGAAAAACATGCAACAAACAGTGTGTGAGTCAAAGCGATGTCACCAAAGAAACACTCTTGCTCTATTTTTAAGTGTAAGGCTCATTGGGCTCAACACAGAATCAACATTCACCACATGATCGTCTAATCGGAGTTATTGTTTGTAACTTTAGGTGGGTTTGCAAACATGTGAACTTTTCATTGCGTCTACCTTAAACTTCAGCCGTTTGCATTTAATCGTGGTCACAGAAGCTCCGTGTGATCTTAACTAGGTGCAGCTGGAAAGTGCATGTTACCTCACGTGCTTGTCCCTCCATTGGAAATAAAATAATGAACTTGTCTGCAGGTCGCACACCAGAAGCGCCACTTTTAGAATTCTAAACATAGGTTTCTATCAGGATACACACAACAGCGCTTCAAGTCGGCAGCTGTCTAGCCACCACTCAGGACACTTCATATTACTGCCACGCCACAGAGTGCCATCTGAATAGTTTCATTTTAAATAACATGTGAATGTGTGTGTCTGGTGTGCCGTGTTGCGGCTCTGAGCAATGCATCCGGTGCCTCTGTCAAAGTTAATTCAGTATGCGTGGTTATTAGTCTCGGTGTACATGCTCAGAACTTTAAACTAGCACAGAGTTGGCTGTAAAACAATACAGAGACACAAATGAATGTGTTCTTTCTGCTTGGTCTGTGTCCGGGTCATACATGTACGGATGAATGCTGATCCTCTCACTCATGTTGCTTCTCTCTGTCTGCCTGTCTGTTGCCAAAAACAAAGCTCTTGGTTCCGCCCTCTTGTTACGTTGGGCGGGAAGTCGAAACAAATTTTCATGTGAAGCAACACGCCCCTAAAACAACAACCTGTGTACACACACCCCTAAAATGAAACTTTTTAAGACATTATAATGAAACAATCTGAGTTCATTATAAAAAAAAAGTTCAAAGTGTTTTAAACTGAACCTAAACTGGCACACTCAGAAGAAACATAATATTAATATTAAATCTTTAAAAAGGGGTAAACTAGGTGCCCTTTAAATCAATAATATCAACAGCAAAATCATATTGGGGTGGCCAGAGTTTACACAGCTGAGGCTCTAACCAGCAATCTTCTTGCTGTAAGGTGATGGTGCTTACTCCACAGTGAAACACAGTGCGGTGACAAAACCGCTTCCTTGAAAATCAGGAACACTTTATTCATGCTGCCTGTTTATTTGTATAATGAAAATTGGCCACAAAATCAACTCAACCTCATTCGAATTTATGTAACCATCATTTATGCCAACATAGGCCTATTCTGAAAATGTACTTCTATATACATTTCTGAAGATTGCAAATTATGTAGCCAGAAGTACGTATGGCTGCATTTTGGCTTTAAAATGGACTCTACGGGGCGATGTGATTCTGTTCCTTACCAGCTGACCAATTACCTCCCTATAGACGGCTCTTCAACTGTTATCAGTTTGTCCAGTGGCTCACCATGAATGTCAGTGGACTTGAGATGCAGGGAAGAGCTAACAATCCACTGTTGTGACCGTGTTACATCAAAATGTTCCCGTGATTCCTGTAACTACTCAAGTGTACTATTGGCAGTATGTTGCAATGCCTAAAGAACAAACTTGCATAATGTTAGCCAATTTATTAGTTAATTTCCCCTTAACGGGATAGTTTCTAAAATTGTACATTTCTCACTATTTACCTGCTGAAAAAATTACAAAAAAAAAAGTAAAAAAAAAAGTTCAAAGTGAACCTAAACTGGCACACTCAGAAGAAACATAATATTAATATTAAATCTTTAAAAAGGGGTAAACTAGGTGCCCTTTAAATCAATAATATCAACAGCAAAATCATATTGGGGTGGCCAGAGTTTACACAGCTGAGGCTCGAACCAGCAATCTTCTTGCTGTAAGGTGATGGTGCTTACCACTGAACAATCTTTATTTGTACAAAATAAAACAGTTTTGTACTTAATTATTCTGCTGTAAGGCCGGGGATGTGTTTTCTTCCCCCTAATTTAAATCTATTTATTATAAAAATATATTTGGAAATATGTGTTTGCCTGAAATGAAATATATTTATATTAAAAAAATGTCATTTTATTGAACAATATGGATACAGCTTATTTTTAAGATATATAAAAAATGTATTGAGGGAATAAATAGACTTAAAAAATGCTGGGTTACTTTAACCAAATTCTGGGTGTAATAGGAACTAACCCAACTGCAGGGATAACCTTTTGAATTAAATCAATAGGTTCAGGGTGGCATGGTGGCGCAGTGGGTAGCGATGTTGCCTCACAGCAAGATGGTCGCTGGTTTGAGCCTCGGCTGGATCCGTTGGCATTTCTGTGTGGAGTTTGCATGTTCTCCGCATGTTGGCGTTGGATTCCTTCGGGTGCTCCAGTTTCCCCCACAGTCCAAACACATGCGCTATTGGTGATTTGGGTAGGCTAAATTGTACACTAAAGTGTATGTGTGTGAATGAGAATGCATAGGTGTTTCCCAGCGATGGGTTGCAGTTGGAAGGGCATCTGCTGCGTAAACATATGCTGCATAAGTTGGCAGTTCATTCCACTGTGGCGACCCCAGATTAATAAAGGAACTACGCCTAAAAGAAAATGAATGAATGAATATATAGGACCAAATTTAACCCATGTTTGAGTTATTCCATATTTTACCCAATTTGGGTTTAAATAACCCAGCATTTCTTAGAGTGTAGATAAATAACGGTTCATATAGTTTATCATTGCACCCATTTAAGATGAATATTATATATTATTACAGTGACTCTGTAAAAGTATAACAGATGAGCAACTTGACTTTAACTAACCGTTGGCAAACACCAGTGCGAGAACAAGAGCCAGCAGCAGAACCTTCATTATTCTGTTGAGGAAAATCAAAATCCTGGTCAATCATAGTGATTATGAATATGTCATATGTCTACATTCCATTGAGTGATAGATTTGCTTATAGTTTAATTCAGGCTTTCCATCAAACACTTATTTTCACTGTGTTCAGAATTGGTAGCACTTTAATTTAAGGACATTTTCTCAGTTTTCCTGCGTATTACCTGCCTATTATTAAGAAATTGGCAGTTTATTAGTACATATAAAGTAGGCTAGATATATTTTTCTGCATGATCTTACTATGATCTACTATGAATCTCTAATCCGATTTACTACATAAACCTTATTAACTATTAATAAGCAAAAGTCATAGTCAAATGTTTATTAATAGTGAGAATTGTATACCTGAAAATAAAGTATGACCAAAAAATCTGTTTGAATTTCTGTGCTTAAATCATATTGAAAATATTAAGAGAACACTTAAAAATACTCTATTTTGTTTTAACATTTGAATTATAGTTGTGTTAATTTCTATTTTAATCTATATACTTACAAATTTAAAACAAAAAAAATGTTTTCTATATACTATAAAAACAAAAAAGTATATACATTTTAGACAACACAATTAAAATATTTTAAGCTCAAAAGTTACACTTTTTCTCAATCGCTTTGGTGCGTTTCTCACAACACTAGTGCATTTCTGCACAAAAATTAGTGCATTTCTCAAAACAATTAGTACAAACTGCAAAACTAAGCTGATAACCTGCAAAAGTGCGTCACTTGCTCAAAATGAATAGTTAATCTCTAAAAGCAAGTATATATATATATATATATATATATATATATATATATATATATATATATATATATATATATATATATATATATATATATATATAAACAACCAAGTGAAGAACAATATGACTCTATAGTCAATAAGACTATTATAAAAAATAAAAGTGTTCAATTTCACTAAATACAGATTTAATTCTTATAATAATGTGTAAACTCACCTTGACTGTGAAGCAAATCTGAAAACAATACTCAGACTTCTGTGTTTGTGCTTTATATACTGTAATGTTGCCTCATTTCTGGGAGTCTTTGATGTGTGGAAATTCCCTATTGAATTAATGCCAAAGAATCTGGACCAGACAATGACACTTTTCTCTGTTATATTTTAATGTGCTGTTTGTATAAACTGGTAACAGTATTAAGTGAAATTTCATTTAAAATTTATTCGTTATTTTACAATTGAGCAAACAGACACAAATGATGAAACACAGTGCGGTGACAAAACCGCTTCCTTGAAAATCAGGAACACTTTATTCATGCTGCCTGTTTATTTGCATAATGAAAATTGGCCACAAAATCAACTCAACCTCATTCGAATTTATGTAACCATCATTTATGCCAACATAGGCCTATTCTGAAAATGTACTTCTATATACATTTCTGAAGATTGCAAATTATGTAGCCAGAAGTACGTATGGCTGCATTTTGGCTTTAAAATGGACTCTACGGGGCGATGTGATTCTGTTCCTTACCAGCTGACCAATTACCTCCCTATAGACGGCTCTTCAACTGTTATCAGTTTGTCCAGTGGCTCACCATGAATGTCAGTGGACTTGAGATGCAGGGAAGAGCTAACAATCCACTGTTGTGACCGTGTTACATCAAAATGTTCCCGTGATTCCTGTAACTACTCAAGTGTACTATTGGCAGTATGTTGCAATGCCTAAAGAACAAACTTGCATAATGTTAGCCAATTTATTAGTTAATTTCCCCTTAACGGGATAGTTCCTAAAATTGTACATTTCTCACTATTTACCTGCTGAAAAAAACAGCACATGCTGGTAAGGTTTGTTTTGCTGCTGGTCTTGCTTGTCTCAAGGTCTTGCTGGTTTCAGCGCTGGTCTCAATGCTGATCTTGCTGGAGACCAGGATTGAAACCAGCAAGACCAGAACACCAGCATTAAAACATATCTTACCAGCATGTGCTGTTTTTTCAAGGCTAACTCTCAAGTGGCTACTTTTTGAGATTTATTTATTCTGTTGAACACTTACGGATACATTTTTTAAGAGAGATGAAAACTTCTAACCATTGACTTCCATAGTAGGAAAAAACAAAACAAAATGGAAATCAATGGTTACAGATTTTCAGCTTCATTCTTCAAAAGATCTTCTCTGGGGTTCAACAGAATGGAAAAACTGAAATATCCCTTTAAACAAATACAAAAAGCCTACGCTAATAGTCAATAGTGCTTATTTTCAAACTGTGTTAAATAAATAGGTGTTTACTGGGGCCACCAGATTTTCTAAAGTAAATCGTACTGTCTGTACAATGAAAAAAAATAATGTCTGCAAAACTATTGCAAACAATTTATTTGTGTTGAATTTAAACAAACAAATTAAATTGAATAATATTCAGCTTAATTTGTTTGTTTGAATTCAGCCCAAATAAATAGTTTACAACCACTTAACGTAAAGAAATTTTGTAAATCCAAGGAATCATCTCTGAATAGTTTTTTTAAGTGTATCAACCCAGGCTCATTCTGGAAACGTAGTCCCGCGGACGTTTCTGGAGACCACGGAATATGTCCCGAGAGGTACGTATTTGTGCAGTTTTTGTTTTTGCGAATCCGCGAGAGGCCCGTGCTGTTCTTACGTAAACCCGCCAGAGGCCGCTGTCGAGTGACCGTCTGTCTGAATGACAGAATGATTGACCGTGCAACCGGCCAATCGGCTGACCCACCCTTCTCCTTCCCCAAACCCAACCAACGATTTACAAAAGCCGTCGAAAAAAAGAACAGCCCTCGTCTGATTTTTACCACATTTTCGAATTTGACCAGATTCTCACCCTGTTATGAACTTGTTCACTTTAATTTTTTTATTTTGTTTTTGTTTTCTTACTTGATTTCTGGAACCGCTCATCCCCTAACTTAAACCCAGTCGTCGTCGTGGTCAGCTCCTCTCTGCGTCTTGAGTCTGCTGACTTTAAACCACAAGCTAACCAGACAAACTGGTTACGGCGGGAAAGCCCTCCACATGGAGGTAAGCGCGGTCGGCCGGCAAGCACGAAAGGGAACGGCGTCACACCGCCCCGTAGCATTCGCTTAAAAAATTAAATGCACCCATACGTACCTCCGGCTACATATTTTCCAGTCTCCAGAAACGTTTGCCGGACTACGTTTTCAGAATGAGCCTGGGTTGGTCTGTATTGAGCGTTTTGCTCGTTCGGTGGCTTTGAACTATCAAAAACATAAAAACGCGTTTTCGTACATTAAATATTTGTTCATGCTGTATGTACATTACAGTAGCACGTTTTTTAAAAACAGGTGAGCTGAGTTCAGTTCTTAGTTCTTTCATTTTCATTTTACTTAAAGTATATTAATTTAACTTTGTTAATTGAATTCCATTTAGTTTTTTAACCTATTATTTTTATGCAACAGTCAAGTTGCTATACGAAGTTGCTATATTAATTTGCTATGCAAAGAAAGGAAAATAATTCATTTTTGGCATGCTGATTTATGTGAAATTGTGTCTATATAATCACCTTGCAATTTTAAAATTATTGCTTTTTTTGCTATTCAGTTCATAAGATCAGATCAAACTTTTTTTAAGTCTTTAAAATAAAATCAGTTGTACACTGTATTAGACATGCGACGATAACCGTTGTTGTGAATTTCTCTGTCTGGCTCACGGCACCAAAACTTGTGAAATTCTACGATGAGCAAAAAACCAGGGAGAGATTTCGGGTATCTTCAAAGCAGAATCCTTTAATAAGAAGAACTCAGCGTCGCTGTGGCGTCATCGAAAGAAACTCTCAGTTGGTACAGCAGACACTTAGTTTAAATACAGACATCGATACATGTAGGTGAGGACAGTCTAAAACAAAGCATGCAAATGAAGTGTTGTTGTCAGCAGGGTAAATTGCCATTCCAGGCCCAATCTTGTCAGCATATAAGTACCCCTAAAAACAACTCTTCAGTTATATATAGATTATATAAATTTATTTTCCCACACTGTTTTCAATGTATACCGTGGTTTAGAAAAGTCAATCATTTAAAAATGTTCGGCTATATCATTTCTAAAGTGTATTTAAGATTTTTGTTTTGTTTTAAGTTCTTTAGGACAACAGTATCTCCAGCAGAAAATATATTTAAAGATGCTGTTTTAAATCTGTGTTTCTGAAAGCAGAAGTCAATGATTCATTTGAATTATTTAGTCGTCTGACAGGTTTTCTTTTACGAAATAATTGAAAAATTTCCCAAAATAAAATAATATTGTGATCAAAGGGGAAAAGTTGTTTTTTACCCAGACATTTAAAAAGAACATATTTTAGAGCAGTGAGCACAATACCATCATACCGTGAAGCAGTGATATTTTTATCCAAGGTTATCATACCATCACAATATATACCGGCTCATGCCTGCACTGTATAAACATTTTGAAATATATATATATATATATATATATATATATATATATATATATATATATATATATATATATATATATATATATATATTAGCGCTGTCAAAATTAACGCGTTAACGCATGCGATTAATTTTAAATAATTAACGCGTTAAAAAAAAATTAACGCAGTTCAGGTTTTTTTTACTTCCTGTTGTGGTGGACGTGTGTTCAACATGCAATAAATGTGGATAAGACCAAGGAAGCACTTTTTAAGGGCAAGTTCCAGTATAAAACAATTAGTTGCATCACAAGTTATCCAGAGTTTCATGCAATTTCGGGTGTTTCATTTTTAACTTTCGACATCTGTTGTAAGTTGATACCGCATGGCGAACAGAAAGAAAATCCTCCGCATTTCGTGACTCCGTGTTCCTTTAAGGTAAGGTTCCTTTTAAGGCTACACGGTAGAATTTTAATAAGAGTATAATCTTAATCATATTAAAATCGGAGTATTGGAGTCTTGTGTAAATGTACTCAGAAAGTCTCCGGTGAAGACGCGAGCTGTCAAGGACAGGGCATTACTCTGCCTTTCAGCATGCGCCCTTCAAGTTTAGCGTGTTTCCTCATTAAACGCAATGAAAACGTATGCTTCGCGTTGTTGTGTCAGAATCCTTGTGAAATACAGTAATACTTTAGGAGGCTTAGTTTTGGACGCTTAGCAGATTTGATGAACGTGATCATGCGTGTTGAATCTGAGGGGAGTCGCTCCAGTATGGAAGGCCGTTGGGGCCAAAACGTCTGCAGCGCGTTGTGTGTGTCTGTCTGTGTGTGTGTCTGTGTCAGGCCTGTTGAGTTGGGTGTCAGGGGTGGAGTGAGCGACGTATCTGAGTAGGGGCGAGAGGGGTGTGCAATGTATTTAACGACCAGTTTGCCAGTGGCGCCCCCAGAAAATTTTCTTAGGGGTGGCCAGAAGAGGCCGCACCAAATCTTGGGGTGGCACACAAAAAAAATTATGAATTCAGTGTAATGTTATATTTTTGTTTTTGGTAAATGTAATAATGTAGTTTTTAAATAAAATTTATTTTATTTTATAATGTATTTTTATTTTTATTTTCAATTTTAACTAATTTATTTAATTAGTTTATTATTCCCGGAGATGGGTTGCAGCTGGAAGGGCATCCACTGTGTAAAAATGTGCTAGATAAGTTGGCAGTTCATTCCACTGTGGTGACACTGGATTAATAAAGGGACTAAGCTGACAAGAAAATGAATGAAAGAATAATGAGTTTATTAATAACCCAAACAAATGAACAAACTGAACAAAAGGCATTACTATACACACTCACTATACCTAATAATATTATTTATCCATATTGCTTTTTGAGCCATTTTATTAATGCAGCTTCTTCTATTGATATACTGTACCTTAAGGTAAATATTAAATTGCCATTGCTGTCTATTGAAGGTGTGTGCGTGCTGTCAACGACGATCGGGGAGGGTAGTGGCGGTTCTAGTTTAAATGACACCCTGGGCGAACCACCCTACACCCCACCTCCCTTGAATTGTTAGATTTGTTATTCAATAAATATAACAATTTATTTATATTTATTTTAAATAAATACAATTAATAT